CAAAACTGGTCCAGGAGTCAAACTCCAACCCTAGTGCAACACTGGAAGACTTGAAAGCTTCAGTTTCCAGTACTGGGATAGATGTTCATGCATCTACAATTTCCAGAGTATTGCACCGGTCTGGCCTGCAAAAAGGCACTGCTCACCAACCTCATTATACTGTCCCCACTGTAAAGCATGGCAGTGGCTCAATCATGCTTTGGGGCTGTTTTTCAGCTGCAGGGCCTGAAGAGCTGGTAACCATCCAAGGTGTCTTGGGCAGTGTCAAGTACCAAGAAATATTGGAGGCAAACCTGCTGAAGTCTGCTAGAGCTCTGCACTTGGGTCACAGTTTCAAGTTTCAATAAGATAATAACCCTTAGCATGTGTCAAAAAGCACTAAAGCTTGGTTTGCTAGCAAGAAAATCAGTTTGGGAGTGGCTTAGCCAGTCTCCAGACTTCAATCCTATGGAAAATCTATGGAGAGATCTAAAGCTGGCTGTGCACCAACATTCTCCATTCAATCTGACACAGCTCAAGAAGTTCTGCCATGAAGAATGGCAAAAACTGTCAGCAGACCAATGCAGCAAGCTTGTGGAAGGCTACCCAAGGCGTCTGCAGGCTGTAATTGGCGCAGCAGAATCATCCACAAAGTATTACCTGAAGACATTCCAAAGGGGGTGTAGACTTTCGAAAAGACATTTTTCAAAATTATCTTTGTTTAAGAATCAGTTTAAAATTTTTCAAATGTATTTTGTGTATTAAATAAAAGTGTGATAGATCTGGTTATTAAAACAAATTATTGTAGTTTAAAATATTAATTGTTCCTATCAAAATAAACAAAATACATTCAGTTTTCAAGGGGTGTAGACTTTTGCAATGCACTGTACCATCTGCCTAAATACCTAGCTGAGAACTAGTGACATCAGGAAGGTCATTGATGAAGATCAGAAACAGCATAAGTCCAAGGATAGAGCCCTGGGAACACCTGCATTAATATGAAATGATCTAGATGCATGTTCATTCAACACTGCCTTCATTACACAATTTTTTTAGGAATGATTGGATTACACCAAGTATTCATCCAGAAACACTATAGTCCTTAATCCTGTGGAGAAGGCCAGCATGCCAAACCCTATTGAATGCCTTTGAAATATTGAGAGCCACAGCCCAAGCTTCACCATTCTTATCTAAAGCTTGACAGACAAATTCAGTGCTAGCTGTTAACATATCAACAGTAGACCTGGCGAAACAGAAGCTATAAGAGGTTTAATTACTTAGACCAGGATTTAGATGAGTTGACTTAGGACTCTTCAAGTGACTAAGTTTCAATAGTGTATTTTATTCAGAACAAAGGTATTTAGGCATTTAAATAAACTTAAATAAGACTAAATGTAATCTGGTTACTAGGAATTCAACATATTCTTGTTAGATGTGAAGTCTTTCCAACAAGAGTTAATACTAACTCTAAAACAGGAATTGACAAGGGCTGTGGTTGGGAATAAGTGATGAGACAACCTGAAAAGTAAATTAGGTTATTTGCTGTTGATTATAGTTACTGACTCAACAGGTTAGAAGCACAGATGGCAATTGAATCTAGAATAGATAAGGTCATTAAATCAGATCTAGGTCTGTTAGTTATAGCTAAAGCAAAGTTGGCTTCCTTGCTTAACAAGAAAGATCAGAGTTGGATTAAAAAGAATATGTCCCAAGGTAACAAATATGACCACAGAATAGAATGCAGAACACTAGTTATTAGCAACTAGTCAGTATCACATCATCTAATGAAGGACTTTGGCTACAAGTGAAGACATCTATTCAAATTTTGGAATTACTACCAGAAACTTTTCCCCAGGGAGACCAATCTGAGCTCTACTCTGATATATATTTAACTGATTTTCCACATCTTGAAGCAACTGAAGCAGGGATCCTATCACAGAGTATGAGATTAAGGAAATCTTGAAGAAGATCAGGATTGAGAAAACTCTGGGGATTGATGGCCTTACAAATTGTATATAAGCTTATTGCTCATGTTTGTTCCCTTGCTGGCACTCATTTTCAATGACTGTTGGAAGCTAGGAACATAAATACAGAGGTAAAGATTTTGGCAAGATGTTAGCAAACCATTTACTGGCTGTATTTTATTGGCTGATAATCCTCCCAATAGATTTGCACTATGAAGAGTTGAACTATCAAAGATAACTTGTATTTGTTGCATATGATCATAAAGTAAGTTGATAATCAATCCAAAGTATTCAACAGGTCTGACCATCACTTTTTGGGGCTAATCTTATTAGTATCTGGCTTCAACTGAACTTTCTTTACTTAATAAGCCTCTTGTATATGATCCAGCAGTGTGGTGATAGAAATAAATGAGGTAAGATTGAAGCCTTTCATGATGCCCAAGATAATTCATCAAAGTTGTCCATCTATGCTGTACATCCTTACACTGGAGCCTTTCCTGCACACATTGAAAATGAACCCAGTCTTGTACAGAGTTATGTGACCCATTGCCTAGGCTAGGTACTCTGCTTATGCTGACAATGTCTTCATGCTTGTAAGGACTAATGCCAAAATTAAGAAGGTTAGCAAAGATCAGATTGTATGAGATGATAGAAGGAGCCAAAAATTGTTGGGTTTGTGTGGAGGTTGTCCTCTTTCCAGTCTCTTTAGCTATGCAAGATACTCAGCATCTAGATTGAGACTGCAGTTAATCTGTGGTATCAAAGGAATCTTTTTGTAAAAGGGATAGTTAAAGTGTGTATTTCACACATTTAATCCCTCATTCTTTACATCAATATTTCCATTCCCATGTACCAATTTAGGTGTTTAAACTCCTTCAGAGTCACAGAGCTCTCATGATGTATCATAAGGTCTATTGCCCCCTCCCATCCAAAGACAACCTAGGTATACTGAAGATAAAGATTTTTCAGCATGTGTGTGTAATGAAAACTTGAAGGTGGTACATGCTAAAAGTGGAAAAGGATGTAGTGTGGCATGATGTAAGTAGGGGATAATGAAGCAAAGGATGCAACTTCATTAAAAAAAAAGAAGAGTGATGCTACCCATATCAATGTAGTTGAGTTGAAAGCAGTAACAGTCTCATTTTCACTCTTAGTGAGGGACTGCAGGACACCAAAATTAAAACTGACTCTGCTACAGTGTTTGCATGTGTCAAATTGATTATCAAGGGGAGAAAAGAAAATGTAGATGAAAGAGACTGTGGAAATGCTTACCAAAAATTGTTTGTCCGAATTATGATATTTCTAGACCTGAGTAGTGGAATGAGAACAGTCTACTCTCAAAAGATTAAATAAAGGGTTGAATTCAGAATTCCCTGTAGAATACCTAGATTTTATATACTTGAGGAAGGCTGGAGGACACAATGGCCAAAACATTTTGATAATAGTCCAAATGTAACTAGTGAAATTAATGTCTATCTGTGTAGATCATCAAAAGTTTTATTAAAGAAAATGTACCTTTCAGTAGAGATTGAACTCATATTCCCTTTTTCTGAGAAACTTCTTTTAGCTATATATAAAATGTGGTGGTACTCTAAAGTTTGATGAATTTGAGCTTACATCTAATTTTCACTCTCTCCTTTAAAGTTCTCTCCTTGAGCATGTATACAGTGATTTCATAAAGGGTAATGACAAAAAGACATGGTGGAGTAATGGACAGTGGCTTGAATTGAGGAATTTGAGAGCTGAGTTCAAATTCCAGTATTCGTTTGATTCACTTATGTGCAAATACCCTTGGAAAAGATATGAATCAATTTCTCCCCTCATCTAGGAGTAAATAACAGGACAGCCTTGGTTCTACAGCTTTGGATGGCAACTTGTCTAGAAGGAAAACTCTGAATTCAAAACTTCCAACAATGGATTAAATAACCTCACCAACCTGAAATTAGCCAAGTGTGGTGTGTACAGTTATACCCTTGAAGACATGGTCAATCAGGAAGGGGTTTTTCCAAAGAGTGAAAAAGCCATGAATCTGGATCTGTTCTGATGAGCTTTCATCCCTGGTTCTTTTAATGACAAAAAAAGTGTTTAAATTTCTAAAATATTTATATATTAACTCTTGTATATATTACTTAACACATTGACTGCCAACCATAAGATAACTTGTGGTTGATAGCTTTTATTATCATGCTAACAATGATCTCATGCCTGGCATTTTCTGATACATTTTCATCTGTGTGCACCAACAAGTTTATTCTTAGTGATACTTTTAGTGTGACAACAATGTTAAGACTTCAGTTGAATCTATAAATCAAGTCATAAAAATGTTTTATTGTCTAAATTGGCAATTATAAAGTTGGTGTTTAAAGTAAGATTGTGTCATTAACCCCTAGCAGCCAACACATTAATTGGATTATACTTATGATACTAAAGTAGTTAAAAATGTCTCTTTTACAACATAATTTGAATTGAAGATTAAATAGTATCTATTTTATTTACATAAAAAAAATTCAAAGAATATTTTAGGCTGTAACCCATTTTTCACAGGACATTATTTAAAAGATTATGTCAAGTAGATTTTGTTTCCTGATGATAATGGGGATAATCATTAAAATTTAGGTGGGCCAATTCAACTTTTGTTCTTTGTACATTGATAATTTATCTTAGTTTGAGTCTGCTGATAAATTCTAAAATGTACAACACACTCACTTTGTCTTTTTATGCAATATTTCATAAGTGGAATTTTGTAGGTTATGTCTTAAATAATTTCAATGAATTATGGGTTGGGTTGGTTGATTTTATAACATGTCAACTCTTATTTAATGTTAATGTTAGTCTACATTTGCATCTATAAGCATTTACTTACCTTGGAAATAGGTAAATATTAATCATTTCTGTTTGAGTCCATAAGAATTTATTTGATAGGTGGCCCCTTTGGTTGGGGTCCTCCTCTGCACTAACAAGGTAGTCTATAGATTGTGTGTAATGCTTTGTTGCAAATGATTTCTTTATTTTCTTGTTATTTTATATGCTTTGTTGTTGTTCCTTTTCTTTATTCAGATCATGGTATTCAACAGTTCAGTAATGATCCTAGCAAATTAACTGAAGCACTTCAGCCATACCTGAGGTTTGCAGAACTTAACATTCCAGCTGATAAAATCAGAGATACTCCTATATATTTAGGAGCAACTTCTGGCATGCGACTTTTACAGTATGTACTTCAGTTGATAATTCTTTGATTTCACTTAACAGTATTCAACATTTCACATGCATTTATCTGATAAGCTGATTTTTATTTTTTATATGAAATAAACTGGTTTACACTTTTGGGCAACCTTTATAACTCTTCTGATGTTTAATTACTATCAACTTTTTGGCCTTCCACCTTTTTTAAATATTAAATCACCTTTGTATCTTGTATCTTTGCTTGTTAAAAAGTGTCGAAGAGAAGTGACCTCCCAACAATGTCTGTATTCTTTTGTACTTGTACACATTCATGGCACTATAGAGATGGCCGGTTCTTCAGTTCACACACACAATTGGAAACTAAACAAAAGTTTGGTTTTATTCTATGGCAATGTTATTGAACTGAACTGTATGATTTGTCTAAAGTTATTACTGCTATTAATTTTCAAAATAAATTGGAAATTTTCATTATTTTTTTTATTTTTTTTTAATATTAGCTTCTAAAACTTTTATATAAGTCTTATATGCCAAAAAAATCTATAGGTCTCATTCCAGCAAATAAGTACAAGTGCAAAGCAAAAAAAATGTTTATTTAAAATCTAAACCAAAAAATGTTTACTCTGTAAGATAACATATCTTTTAAAAAAAAAAAAAAAAAAAAAAGGGGGTTTATTTTACAAGAGAATCAAATAAGAAATATAGATTCAGGGGTCTTTAAAAGTTAATATCTGATTTAGGCTTTCCTTTTTAAACTCTGATTTGGTTCTCACCTTTTAGGTGCTTTTAGTGTTCTGCTTGATAGAAAATGCTACATAAATTTTCAATGAATAGCCCAAGAAAAAATATAAAAAAAAATATGACTGATCTTAACATATTGTGTCTACCATCTCCTTCAAAGTAGTCTGTTTGCTTGCTGTTTGCAGACTGGCTAATAAATGATACTGGTAAAAAAGACAGTTTGCATAAGGTATTCAAATTCTCTAAATATTTTTGATAGCAACTTATATATGTTGCGTGATGAAAAGAAAACAGTTAAATAATTACATGAGTAATTAGAAAATATCCTTCCTGTTTTACAAAAGTTTATATGGCAGGGAATAAGCTTTTTTTTTTTTTTTTTTTTAATAAAGTACAAAAGAAAAGCAGGTTCTTCATTTTCCTTACTTTCACCATATGTGGGCCAAGAACGAGATTAAATACTTCCAGGCAGTATCCTCAGGAGTAGGCTTAGGTCATTATCTGGCGCCTGAGGCATCCCTAAAAAGGGAAATGCAAAGGAGACTTGAGAACTTTTGCCTCCAGTCCATGTATGTTTGGGCTATCAACTTACTCTAAACTTAACCTTTTCTTATATTCTTCTCAAGTGGCCATGTAGTAAAATACCCATTTTCATCAACTCTCTTACTTTCTCTCTTATAATAAAAATCCTTTCTCCTCTCCTCAGCTCTTTTCCTCTTTTTTATTTATTTTAGTCCATTGTGATGACTGTGAATTTGCATTAGGCTTGTTTAATCTTAAAGCATTGAGTTTGATTATGGTCTGAGATAGTTTGACTAAGAATAAACCATTCTGAAGCACAAATAAAATAAACTATTGTATTATAAATAATCAATCTATTCCACTCCACATCCTCTCAGAGTAATTTTTTTTTAAAAATCAGTATCACCCCATACAAGGCAGTAAAGCCATTTAGACACAAGGGGTTACATGGTGTGGAAGGATTAGTAACAGAAACATTAATAATCAACAAGAAGAGAAAAAAGTAAACAGGAGGATAGTAGATAAGGATTGACATTACACTTAAATTTTTGCAAATTAATGTTGGCTGGGAGGCATGGAGCCGGAAGGGAGATCCACAAATGAGAAGTGCAAAAAAAAAGAATCTGTTAGCATCTAGCCAGCTCAACTGATGAGATCTTGACGTCAGTCTAGTACTGTGCTTAAATTCAAAAAGTCTAGGTACCATAGCAAAGAGCTCATTTGAGCAACTACCATGAAAGTATTTATAGAAAAGACACAGAGAGGCAAACTTATGGCGATGGGAAAGTGACTGAAGCAGAGCTGCCAGATTAGGACCAATAATATTGTCAATTCTTCTTTGGATTTTATCAAGAAGCTCAAGGTAAATAGCAGGGGTACCATACCATATGTGGCAGCAATATTCTAAGCATGAATGGATGGCAGACTTATAGATATGTAAGATAGAAATACTATATTACTGTTGTTATTATTAGAGAGGGCATGGAAGGAGTGTTATATTTATAGGTTAGATTTCTTCTGCAAGGCTGTGGAGTTCTTGTAGTTTGTGCTTTAACACCTGGTGCATTCAACCAGGTTTCCCTAAGGCAAAAGGTAAATTATCCAAAATATCAGAGAAAGCTTAATTTTCATTTTCTATCTGTGCTGTTTACCTGCTGTTGTCATAATAATGATGTGAAAAAAAAAAAAAAAGTCAAAATAGAATGAAAGTAAATGCTAGTCAAAATTAATAATAATGGTTAGCAATACTTCATTGAATAAAAAATAAAATAAATATGACTGTTACTAAAATAAACTTTTTATCAAATGTAAAAAATGCTATTTAAAGTTTTGTGTTCTTTATAGATGTCCTATATTCTATTTATTTACTTTTGTCATGTGATTGGTTCTATGAAATGTGATTTTTATTTTCAGCCAATCAAATGACAGTACTGCAGAAAAAATTCTAACTGTGATAAGAGAAACTTTCCAGAAATCCAGTTTCAAAATTCAAAAGCCTGAGCAGCAAGTTCGTATTATCAATGGATCAGAGGAAGGAACTTTTGCTTGGATTACTGTTAATTATTTATCAGAAAGGCTGGGTCTGGTATGAAAATATTTTTAAAAATTTTACTTTTTATTGCTTTTTGCAGTTATGAAAATATTATGATGTTATTGTTTTAGTAAATTTATGAAAACAAAAAAAAAACAAAAACCATTTAAATGTGAAAACTATAAAATTAGAGTGAAAACCTTTATTTTACATGACAGTAGTCATTACAGAATAGTACAACAAATAGTTTGTCTTTTTAAAGTCATGTGCATTGAGGATGTAGACATCATGGTTCTCCACAATTTCTTTTTCTTTAATATCTGTAAACTGTCCATTGCCATGATTGTTCTTAGAAATATTTGTGGAATGATTTCATCTTGCTTTTTCCAGTTTTGAATTCAGAGTTGTCCTTGATTGGTTATCAATCAAGGCTAGAGAATTCAGTCAGCATTGCTATTTAACCTATGACTGGAAATAAAAGATGTATTCATGCCTTTCACAAGGGAATTCATCCAAATTGCACACAACAGCCTTGATGGGAATTTGAACTCTGTCAATTCCATTTTCTGCAGTGATAACTAACACATCCACTACAGCAAATAGTACCAAGATTTGTAAGAAGTAATAAAAGGACAGTCTTATTCACTATATATTTGTAAGTAAAAAAGACCATTGTTTCAAATTATGCTTAATCCTATGTAATATGAGGTGTCCCAGAAGTCACCTAGGCATTTAAAAATCTGGTAATTTCAACATTTTCTTTATTATTCAAAAATAATTTTATACAGAATGAAAATTCAAACATTGGAAATATATTTCCACATATTTATGAAAAAATATGCAATGTAAATATCCACCATTTTTGACTTCACACAGTCACATTTTTTCAATAACATTCTCCATAACAATGGTTAATGACTCTGGCTGCAGCCCTGAAATTTCTGCACAGATGTTATCCTTGAGTTGCTGAATTGTCTTTAATCAGTAGACACAAGCAAACAAAACGGCACCCAAGACTCTTTTTTTTTTTCTGCCAAAAAGACGTCGCCTTCAGCCAGGGGAGACGGTCAACGTCTTTTTGGCAGAATTGTGCAGACTCGCGGTTCTGTTTGGTGGCGTATCAGAAAAGTGTTTGCAGTGTACATTCGTTGCTGGATTGCCTGAGCATGCAGAGGAACTTTTAAGAGCGTCATCTCAGATGGAAGACCTGGATTTGTCACATGTGCTGGCATGAGTTTGCGCTATTTTGAAGAAGTGCACTGGTTCTACGGAGCAGGCTGCAGTGGCTGCACAGTTGAAGGAAACAGATGTGCACACGAGGTGCTATAAATGTGATGGACCCAATCATAGGGCCTGTGATTGTCTCCTGGGTCATGAACCATCCAAAGGTTCTGGTACCAAGCACCGATGGACCGTCACTTGCTATCGATGTCATCGGCAAGGGCACATTGTTCGGTGTTGTCCAGGAAACGGGCAAGAGGGTGAGAATTCAGCGCCAATCTCCTTCCCAAAAGCCTTCTAAATGGCGCATTGCCTGTAGTGACAGTTCGTATCAATGGAATACCATGTATAGCTCTGGTGGATACAGGATGCACACAGTCACTAGTCCACAAGTTATGCTGTCGAGCATAGACAAGAAAATCAACACGCGTGCTTACAGTAGACGGAGACACACTTGACTGCTGTGGAATCGGAGTGGTACAAGTTAGCATTGGTGCAAAGCCATCCATCACTATGGAAGCCCTGTCGTGGATGGAGACCTGCTTGGATTTGACTTCCTGCTCGAACTAGATGCCATCAAACAGTTGGGAGGAATATCTGTAACTGGCACTGGTGAGGTGAAGTTTCCGCAGTGTGTCGAACCAGTCGTTGCTGCCATCACCATTACCGAGCCCGACTTTAAAGTAGAATCCGATGAGACCACTCTGAGGTGGACTGCATCTTGGAAATGGGCTGGCAACCAACCTCTGGGTACATTAAGAAATAGACTGGCAAAATATCCAGCTCCCACATGAATTCGGGAGGAGTATGATCGGGAACTCCAGATTTGGATAGATAACGGCTGGCTGCTTCCTTACCCAGAGGAGGAACTCGGACTCCCAAAGGGTTTAATCCCCCTCATGGCCATTCTGCAGGAAAACAAACAGAAGGTTCGGCCCGTTATGGATTATTGGGAACTCAATGAGTACGTTGACGCGTACGCGGACAACGCAGATGTTTGTTCACAAAAATTACGGGAATGGCGTCAGCAAGGACAAAATGCTGCCGTTCTGGACCTATGCCCGGCCTATCTGCAGGTACACATCGACAAGTCCCTTTGGCCATTCCAAACAGTGGAGATTAAAGGACAAAGGTATTGTCTAACCCGCTAAGAAGGAGCGGCTAAGAATTGGCACACGTGTATTGGGATTGCATGTCTGGGAGGAGCAAGGAAATCTGCGATGGCGTCGTGGATGTGAACTTCCGGTAGTCCCCGATAAACTTACCCACCGAATTGTCTTCTCGCTGTGTGGGAAGTTGACTGGTCATTTTCCTGTATGCGGTTGGTTACGTGTCGCCATGGCATTTGTGAAGCGGAGGGCAAACACTGTTACCACTGGATGGGACGATGAAGTGCAGGACCCTTTTCTAGCCCAGATGATCGACAACATTTTTAAGAGACTAGCCCAGGACGATCCAGTGAAAGGTGACTGGTGCATCAGTGAGCAAAATTTAACCATGTGGGTAGATGCAAGTTCCTTAGCTACCGATGTGGTTGTGGAGAGCAATGGCACTGTGGCAGAAGACGCAAGCTGGCTCCGGCCGGTGCACAAAGACAAGCACATGGCTGAGCTCGATACTGTGATTTCATGATTTTGGTTCTTGGTTCAATTGTGAATTTTTCCATGGGTAATTTCCCTATGTTAATAGAAGTTTTGAAATAAAAGAAAATAGGGTATAAAAATCTGGCATGTTATTACATTTTTAAATAACTAGATGATTTTTGGGACACCCTGTACATTTAAAATTATTAATTGTTTTTCTTTAAATTTTATGTCAGAAGAAACAGTGGTCTTCAGAAAGTCATATCAGTTAATTTTTACAAAGTTATGGATTAGATTTGTTTGAAAAAAAAATCTTTTTTGTTTATATAGAAAATAAGAGTACAACTTAAATAGATTGGTCCACTTGTAAAAAAAATAGGGAAAAATCTTAGGAAAATAATTTCGGAGATTTGCTTTCTTTAGATCTTTCCTATGCCAAGACACTTATCAAAATCAAAAACATTGATTTTTATTTTTTTTAATTGTTTTAGGGGTCCTCTTTATAATATTGATACAATGTAAAATCAGTCCCTGACTTTTACAGAGTTATTGCAGTATAGCAGTTTGTTTATGTATGTCAAGTTTGAAACTGTGTTACATCGTTGATATCTGCGTACAAAAACAGAAGAAATGTCTATATGCATTTTTTATTTTTTTATTTTTTTTTAAAACAAGCAATTGGTTATCAAATTTTTTTTTTTCATTTTTTTTTATAAAAAAATTTTTTGTCATTAAAGAACAGATTTTTAATATAGTGACACATTTTTAATTAAAGAACCAATATTTATATTAATTAACAACAGAATAAAACATGCTGATATCAATGACATAAGCACATTTTCAAAGCATAACATTTGTAAATAAAAAATCTAAGTGCTGATAACTCTGTAAGAAATGGGAATCGATTTTTCACCATTTTGCTATTATATACAAGACACCACCCCTTTGCTTGGGGAAAGTTTAAAGAATAACAATTAGTAACTGGAAAATTTCTCTATTTTTTTACAAGTGGATCAATCTATTTAACTTGTGCCAAAACTGGAACCTAGAAAAAAGCAATTTTCTTTCATCAATTGACAGGAATCATTTGTTAATGCAAATATTTGCAATACAAGAAAGTTTTTGTAAAAGCTAAGTAGATTCATTCAGCTGAAAATAGAAGAATTAAAATTGGAATATATTATGTTAATTCAAACTCATTTTTTTTATTGATTGCTTTATTTTCTTATAGATTTGTTACTTGATAAACTCTGAAAGGTTCTTATAGGCACATAGTAATATTGCATTAATTGAACTTTTTTTATATTTCAAGTTTGTGATAATTTCAAAACTGTAGAACTGTATTTTTTTTAAAAAGTACTAATTTACTAATACCATATAAAAGATGGTCAGCATGTACAATGTGGTGTAATGGATAATGGTTTGGAATGAGAATTGGAGAACCAGTTTCAAATTCCAGTCAGGTTCATTACATGCACATATGCAAATACCCTTGGGAAAGGTATGAATCTATCTATTATCTCTCAGCTAGGGGTTAAATAGCAGGACAGACTGGGTCCTATAGCCTTGATTGGAAACCAGTCTACTGCAGAAAGAAATGACTGCCTACTACAGGAAAATCTTCTACCTAGTCAGTCATGAATCAAGAGAGACGTGATTGTCCAAGCATGTATTGCATATGGCACTTAACTGTCTGACCTTTAATAAAAGATTTCTACATTTGAGCCCTTTAAATATATAAATAAATTGCCATGAGATCCAAATGGTTAAAAATGTTAGCATTCCAACCACAAGACCCAGGTTCAAATCTTACCATGATTGATTCCTCAAGGAGGTGACCTTGATGATATCAATCCCACCATGTGGTAGCATTGGGAAGTTCTTAAAAACCTCATCATGGATTAACCCAGACCTTGTTAGTGAAATTGGGTAGACAGAACTGTTCAGAAGCTGTCAATGGTTGTGCTAGTATGGTGTCACAAGTCCTCATGAGTAAGGGTTTGAGTGTACTAGACTTGTTCAACCAGTGATCATTCCAGGTTATACACTCTCTCCCAGAAACTGCAACTAAGGTCTACTCACCATAGTTGCAGTATAAACCACAGGTGAGCTCTGTGGTTGTTGAAAAAACATGAATGCTCTTGATTAGGTGTCTGAAACAGGAATTAACTAGCCACCCTAGCAAGTGGGCATACTGAGAAATGAGCAGTCAGCCATTACAGTCATAGTGTCTCAAAAAATGTATACCTGTTTTGAAGCTTCCTCAAGAAATAATTCAAGCCACTAGAACCAACTGTATCTAATTTAAATAATCCATAATATTTATAAATGCATGCTCTTAAGATTTTGTCATCACAGGTTTTCAAATTGATGTCCATTATTATACAGACATTGCAGACAACATAACATAATGGAATAACAAGCGGCAATCAACATTTCAATAGGTTTCTTTGACTTCTGTGAAAATTTCCATTATTTTTTCTTGTTTCACAGGGCTTGTTGATATCCATAGTCTTCTGAAATGGTTCTCATGTACATTGTTTACAGTACCGTCAGCTTCAAACTTATTTTCTAATTCATGACATTATAAGTGGGTGGATCTGAATGAAACTCTCTTTGATACTACCTTTAAATTTCAACTGCATTTTTGTACTTCCAGTATCATTTCAGGATGAACTTTCTTTGTTCAAACCTAAGCCTGGAGGACATTAGTAATAATTAAATAAATAAATCAGAAAAGAAAACAAGTTGACTTGAGCTATACACTTTAAAAGTGTATACATTTTTTTGTGACACCCTGTATATATAAATAGTCAGCACTATGGAAATAACTTTATATTTAAATAAATTGCCAATGCAAGGAAGATAACTTTGCTACAGCAAAATGTTACAGATAAAAAAACATTTGGTGTATTATATAATAAGAATTGTTTTAATTTCTTTTTAGAAACATGATTCTCAAATGTTTCATGTCATAAATGACTTGACAGTAGGTGCCTTGGACCTCGGTGGAGCATCTACTCAAATTACCTTTGTACCTGAAACGGACACCAAGATTCCATCCAATTTTTCCTTGAGTTTTCCTTTGTATGGCCACAACGTTAAAGTTTATACTCACAGCTTCCCATGTTATGGTGTCAATGAAATAATTCGAAGGTACAAAGCAAATCTTGTGAAGGTGAGTAATGAAAAGAATCTGCTAAATGTAGTAGAATGATTTCAATTTAGTGTAAAGGACTGAAACCATAATTGATCGAAATGCTTATGAATGAAATTTAAATGAGTTTAATTTTCCTCAATGAGTTAATTTGCATTTTAGATTTTCATTCAAATTAAAAATACCTTTCTATAAAGATAATTTTTTTTTTGTTTTATATAATTCTTTCAAGTCCCTACACTACTTTTTTTATGACTCTAAATGCAATATTTGCACTTTTGATCTTTGTTCAGTGATTTTTTTTTCTTCATCTGTATTCTTTCTAATACAGTGGAGGGAAATAAATATTCGTACACCATTAAATTTTTAATTAACAATTAACTTATGAAAACTTAAAATCCATACAATATTTCTACACCATTGCATAATGCTGCAATATGCAAAAAACAATTAGAAAACTATTATAAATGAAATTATGTGTTGTTTATAAAATTTTAAGGCAAAAAAAGTATTCATACAAAATATGCCTTTAATAACAGAAGGCTTCAATTACCTTTATTTACATGATTCTTTGTAAGATTTTGCTATATTCTTCCAATTATCTTTACCAGACCAATATAGAACATTATACAATTCATTTCTTATATAATGTTATCTCCACACACAAATCATACATGATAGTTATCATCATGTGCAAAGGCAAGAAACTATCGAATTCACAAAAAGAATTGATCATCAAACATTAGAAGGAAGGCAAAACCTATAGAAAAATAGCAGATATCCTGAATATACCATTCACTACTAGTAGTTCCATTATTGCTAAGTATAAAAAGGTGAAAACTGTTGAGAACAAATTGAGATCTAGTACACCACACAAGATTTCTCACAGATTAATAACAAGAATTCAGGTGCAAAACTCAAGAAAATCCAATGACTATGCATAGAGAAATACAGGTATTATTGTTACAAAGTGAACAATAAGCAATGAACTTCATAGAAGTCAATTAAGATCATGTTCTCCAAGAAAAACTCCACTACTATTGAAGAAACATAAGGATACCCAGTTAAAATTTGTTTGTGAGCATAAGAATAAACCTGAATCATTGTGGGAAAGTGTTTTATGGACAGATGAAACAAAAATTGAACTATTTGGGTGTAATTCAAGGACTCACATTTGGAGAAAAGACAGCACAGCCTTTACACCAAAGAACACAATCCCAATGGTGAAATTTGGTCATGGCAATATCATGGTTTGGGGGTATTTTTTTCTGCTAATGGTATGGGTAATTTAGAGATAATAGATGGTAGAATGAATTAAAAAAAATATAGCAACATGTTTTGGACTCTAATTTGTTTGGACTCCTAAATGAATTGGATTTGCAACAAGATAATGATCCTAAACATATGGCTAAATCTATGGGAAAATGGCTTATTGAAAACAATTTTAATACACTCGAATGGCAATAACAGACTCCAAAGAACCTGTTCCTAAAACATTTCAATCCAACAACTATACATCTGAAGAATTTTAGATATTTTTTCTAAGTTGTGGGTTTTCTTACTTGGGTAATGATGCAAGAAAATTTGTAGATGTTGATGGAAGCAGTGAAATCAATGATTGCCTTAGAGTGATTGATAAAATATTCTTTTAATACCACATCACACCTTGAGAATATGTAGGAACCTCCGGGACAAAAAGTGACATCTTTTGCTATAATTTTTACAAAACATTTGTCCAGGGAAGAAAAAGAATAAAAATATATCCCATTCACCAAGGGTTGAAAGATGAAGAATTCCTTTTAAATTCTTTTTATTTTATAACTATTATGTACTAGCAGAAGTACCTGGCATTGTTTGGAAACAAATTTTGTCTAAATAAGCACACATTTTATTTTATTTGTATAGATTATTAAAATGACTAAGGGAAGTAACCACACATTAATTTACTACCAGAAACTGATTTACCTACCTTAGCACTATATTTTGATGTAGGAATAAATATTTAACTTCCATGAAAAATTCCTTTTTTGATCATCCTTTTTACCTTTCATGACCTTTTCATTGACCTAGACCAACTAGCCTCAGATCCATCCTGAATCATAATCTATCTGTATGCCAAGTTTGGTTGAAATCCATGCATTAGTTTCCAAGTGTATAGCAGACATACAGAGAGACATTTCATTTTATTTGTACAGGATTGATATGCCATAAACCTGGTTTATTTAGTTCATAAAGATGTTTCTTATGTTATTAACAATGTTTCAACTAATTTGGATTTTCCATTAAAATGAGATTTTTTCCTTATAGATGGTAAAGACAAAAAAAAAAAAATAAATCATCCAATATGTTGAGTTAACATCAAGAAAACAAAGGAGTTCATTTGTCCAAACAAAATTTGGAACAATGAAATTTAATTTTATTTTGGTCTGATAATATATTCAACTTAACTCTGCATCTGCTGCAGGGACTTTGATATATTCACATTTTTATAAGCAAAGGACACAAACAGTAATGTTGCAGATACTATATTTTTAAATAAACATAAAATGTCAGTTATAACAACCAAAAATATTTTCATTTCACAAAAAGTCAATGAATAGTTTATCAAAAGAGATTCTTCCAAATTGATTACTGTATTTCCCAATATTAAAGATGCTATTTTTTAGCCTGCATCCTATAGAACAAAAATTACTTTTCGTAAAGGCCTATCCTAACGAATTTTGTTATTTCTCTTTTTTAAAATGCTGCATGTCTAAAATGGGATCCAACATTTGAGGCTGGAGCATCCTCAAACTGAGAAATATGATAATTTACACAAAAATATGGTTATTCAAATGCAAGTGTGAATTCTTGCATATTGCATTTTAGAGCTTCTTCTATTTTACCTGAAAAGATAATTATGAATACAGTAGATTTCATGCTATCCATTCATATCCACTATTTATCTACCATCTTAGTAAGCTATTGACAACTTGACTTAAAATCAGGGAAGGTTAGATTCATGACATTTTAAAGGAACCCTTGCACCAATTTCAACTTCTTTCTTGACTTTCATTTGCAAATACACTCACAATCTTTTTTTGTGTGTATAGATAGAATTGGATCATTATAAAATGTGCAGAGTCATCCTCAATCTCTTTTTCTGTAGCCTATTTTACTTTGGTAGTAAGACAACTAGTAGAGGGACTGGGAGCTTAATGTTTGTTGAGAATATGAGTATAAAGTAGACTAAAACTTAAGATAGAAACTATTTTACTACATTCATTTTTTGTTATTTATTCTACATTTGTTAAAAATGAATAGTACTTCAGCTTTCAAAAAGTGTTTCTTATTTTGAATTTGTTTAAATATCGAATCAGTCTGCTGATTTTTTTCCTTTTTTAAATTCTTTCCATTACAGAACCATCTTGGAAATTCTAGCGTTATTAATAGCCCCTGTTGGTTGAAAGATAGTGTTCATAACGACTCTGCTTCAGACCTATTCATGTCTCCTTGTACTAAAGATACGAGATATCTTGTAAGTGTTATTTTTCTTTTTCAGTGTGTTTACTCTTTATGAAAAAAAAACAGCTTTCTTTTAGTCTCTTTCAAAAATTTACCATTGATATAACAATGTAAGCCGTGAAGAGTTCCTTGGTTCAATTATCATTTTGTTGACAAATCTATTCAGTAAATGTTAGTTAATCTTCCTATTTTATTTGATATCATTTTCTATTTATCTTTCCTATCATTCCAACAAAGAAATTCCACAACATTATTTCCTTTTTTAAAAAAAATCACACATTCTTAATAAAAAAAAAAAAAGAAGTTGCAAAATTAAGCATTCCAAAAGGTGCTGAGAAACTGAAAAATTTGATTAGAAACAAAAAAGTGTTGGATTGCTCTGTGATATTCATTCTCTTATATGGCAATGGATGTTGGACAATCTCCCACTGATGAGGAGAAAGCTGGAGGCAGCATAAATGTGATTCTACAGAAGGATACTGAAAATTCCATGGACAGAATGTAAATAGTCTGTAATGAAATTACTGAAGTCTTTGTCTTCTCCGTCTTCTGCTCAGTCTTATGCCACAATCGACACCAAAACGAACAACATGTGTGACTTTCACACAACTGGACACCTTCCCCTTTACCCTCGCAAACTCTCAGCTTTTATGCAGGTAAGGCATACGCTTATGCAAATGAATATGGACCTCACTCCCAGTCTGGTCGTGCACGCGCACTGCCATTTTTGTGTGTGCCACCATGACATTTGCCTCGTCAAACGTTCACTCATTCGTTTGTTACATAGAACAATGAAGTCTTAAAGAAAATGACAACAGAAAAAACACTTAGAATCAGAAAAAGAAAGAAGATAGAAGTTTTTAACATTTGTTTTAGTGAAATGGAGAAAAATTGTCAATTTCAAATCTTTTCTTTTGTAACCACTTCTTAAAATAATGACCAGCATTCATATTTGTGATTGTTATTACAATATTTTGTTAAAGTTGTTAAGCTCAAATATTTAATGATATGATAGGGGAATATCTACAGATATTTTATTGTTATAGAACTTGCCATAAGATTACTCAATCGTTAACTTAAAAATTAAGATTCATCAGAAAATGAAAATAAGAAAACTGAAATTTTCACAGGTTAAGTAGTTATTATTGTTTATAGCATTCTGGTGTAAGCAAATATTGAATAACTATACGGAGCTGCTTCTTTTTTTTTTTTTTTTTAATTTGGTAAAAATTAATTTTTAAAATTTTACATGAGAGTTGCATATGCAACTGAGAATTTTGTTTATAATCATACAGTGACTTATATCTGACAATTAATATTTCTGAAATCATTAACATTGTTACCTCTGCCAACAAAGTTAGAAGTTACCTACTAGTTGTCAGTGATTTGCCTAAATCAGACCAAATAACCAAATTTAGGCTGAGAACTTTTCAGCATTTCTTTTATTCACCTGTGTTTGTCTGTTTAGCTACCAAATTATTTCAAAATGTTCTTATTAATTTCGATGAAAACTTGTATAAGGATAGTCTACAGGCCAAGAAAAATTGATTAAATCTTGGAGCTGATCCACATTTTTGTTTTTTAATTTTATTTTGAGCGATATTTCATATTAATACGATCATACAAAATAAAAGGAAAATTGAAAACTTACACATTTACCTCCCTTGCATCGTATCTATCTATCTATGAAATGATTTACATTTGGATTTTAGTAACAATGTTGTTGGCAGAGGTATGCATTCAGTATTTTCTAGATTCTCTGAAATTTACAATTAATGTTTAATTTGAAATTCATGTATGTTGAAAATATAGATAAATTAAAAAAATAACTTTTTCTTGGCATTTTTTGACAGGTAAATTTTAACCTTACCTTTTTATGAATATAAAATTTATTTGTTTGGTTTTAATGACATTTTTTTTTAAAATTGTTATAATGACCATTTGGTCATTTTTTTATTTTTTTTTAATAAATTCTTTAAATATAATCATTATTCTTTTACAGACCCAGAAAGAATATCAGTTTGTTGGTACAGGGAATCTCCAAGAATGTCAAAAAAATATAGAATCACTCTTTAGCTATACCAAATGTTCTTACCAACATTGTTCTTTCAATAATGTTTTCCAGCCATTACTCAAAAATGTAACATTTTTAGTAAGTCATACTTTTTCTTTTAAATCTTGACTGCCTTAATTCCCTTGACTTCTACAGTTGCCCAATTAAATTGAGAGAATGTTCAGCACACACAAATTTGACTTCTTTTCAAAATCTTTTACTGCATATTGTTACATTTCTGTGCATTATTCAATGCATTATTGTACAGTTACCCTGTACACCTATTGAAATTCATTGTCAGTTCAGCAAACTCAATCAAGATAAGCTCAGCTATTACCATTGTTGTCTTCTAGTTCAAAAAAATCTCAGAAATCCATCATTAGTGGGAAACATATTCTGCTATATGAGTAAGTTGATCAACATTGGAAATATCAGAAGTTGGATCAAAAGATTAAAATATCTTCATTTGAGGCTGGTCATTATTGCACCTTAAACTTTATTAGCCATTAGATGTATAACCTCTTTACAAATAGTTTTGGGCAAGTAAGATTGTTGACCAGTTCCTTTATTCTCGTCCTGATTTATGCAAGTGTGAATAAAACTGAGCTACAGTCTGTCAAAAGAAATAACAGAAATAAATCATGGAAGTACATATCTCCAGTAGTCTTGCCCTGTTTTTATTTGCCCATCAAGGTTTTATCATCCTGTGTATGATGATAAATTACATCCAACAGCAAGGCCTCTGATCAGGAGGTTTTGAGGAGGGTGGAACCACCTCAGAATTGCTGGTGTTCCCATGTCCACTCTGACCCAGGGTGGTAGCACCTGTTAGTGCCCCAGCTATGGGCAAATAGTTAACACCCAAATTTGTGTAAAAATAGGTTTTCATACCAGAAATACTTTGTAACAAAAAAAAATTATTACCAGCAATAATTTTTGAAGGAAAAATTATTATCAGCAATACTTTAAAAAAAAAAATACCAGCAATACAAACAGTTATATATTCTTTGAAAAAAATATAACCAGCTATAGATTTCTTCAACGAAAAATATTCTCAGAAATAGATTTTTGAAGAAAAACATATTACCAACAATAAAAATTTTGTTGGCATTAAATAACCCATTGAGGTTGATATGCCGTAAAATAAAAACCAAACCAATCCATCAAAGTTTTATGTCTTTCCCCACAGATGCAATATTGCAAGATTTTTGTTTCTCTATCACTATTTCCGTGGTGAATGTTCAAATGAGTTCCAGTTTAATTCCACCAGTTCAGACTATATAGCTAGTGCTCGTCATTCTATATTCACAAAGTCTAATTGCTAACATTTCCTCTGTATTCCATTTGTAAGAAGGAAGTTCCATTCAGACAACTTTCTCTTAAGAACTGTTACTTTGTGGAACAGCCCAAAAATGGAGTACTGTTGTTATATTTGGGTGGGAGCTGCCCAGACCTCACTGTCCAAAAGCCTTTCCAAGCCCTTGTGGGTGATGAATTATTCTTCATCCCTAAACCTCTCTTCCACAGGTGGGATGTGGCAAACCTCTCCCTGCTCTACCACTACTTCCACAGACAGTGCTCAGTCAAACTACATTCCTTGATTCTGCCAAAGCAAACCTTAACAGCAAGAACACACCATGCCACTTACATAGTAGCAACCCACTTCTTTTTGATGGTATATGGAGGGAATGTAAGTTCCACTTGAACAGCTTCTTCCCATGAACCACTGCCCTGTGGAACCAACTCCCAACAGGATGTTTCCCCAATAACTATAATCTTAAACTGTTCAAGGCTAGGATTAACCTTTATCTTCCACTCCTATACATGCAAATTGGCTTCAAAATGTAACCCTCTACTTTGAGTGGTCCTTGTAAAGGGTGAACCTTGCTGTAAAAAAAAAAAAAAAAAAAAACTCCATCTGGATAATTCTCTGAACACTACAATCTTAACTATTTTAGTTGAGAGAGAATTGCTATCCATCCTCCTTATCTTCATAAATTTTATTTCCTTCCTTTTACCTCCACCTACCTCCTCTTATATTCAGTAATGCTCTACTTTGAGTTGCTTTTGAGCTTTGTATTGAGTGAACATTTAGTATATAAAAGAAAATAAAAAGTATTTGACAACATTCTTTTGTTAGCTCTGTTAACATTGAGTTCATATGATTGAAATTTTGTGGCTTTTAACAAGATGATCATGATATCGGTCATCAAATCCAGTAGTAGTAGTTGTTTTGTATGAGAAAAATTTATACACAAAATAATAGATTTTTCTTTCTAACAGTTTGCAGTGATGTTTCTCTAGTAGAATGAAATAGATTATTTAAGCAGTTTCAGACTTGATTTTTGTAGATGTGTCTTGAATTGCTGAAAGGTGAATTTCACTGCTAACATTCAGGCCTTTCTCAAAATGATAACTGTTCATTATTCAGTGTGATTCATAAACCTACATCAGTTTCTGTAAGATCACAATTAACATAAGCAGGTGATATTTCTGTGTCTTCATTAAGACAATAATGAGTCTCAATTGATTTTTTCCTTCAAGACCCTCTTTGATCTCTTTCTATCAATGTCAGTTCATTGTCATTTGCCTCAGATGTTTTTATATTTGTCTTGATGATTAATGACAATTGTTTCCCTTGAGGTTCTTGCAAGGTTGTGCTTTGTATAAAAACTAATTATTCTCTACTCTATTCAGTATGGTATACTTGATCATTTGTAAAATTAAAAATTCTGAATCATTATTTATTATTGTTCAGTTGAGCTAGCTCAAACATTCATGAGTCTATCACACCAACCATCATGGTCCTGCATTAAGGTCAAAAGGTCATTAGGGAGGCATTCTGTGTCATAACATAGTTGGTCAGTGTAGGTGGCTGTTGAACAACCAACCTGTCTTGCTCCATAGCTAGATTCCAGAGCACAGTAGATCACTCACGAATACTTGTTTTTCTCACCATCAGTATCCTGCAAAGTGCATTCTGCTTTTGTGTAATATTGTAGAAATATCAGGGATGGCTCCATGGAGCTGTGACAGAACCATCTTATGTAATTTAAATGCTTCAATATTTCTTTTGTGGTTTGGAGGTCTCTATCCCCTGCTTTTTTTTTGCATTTAGGTTTATTACTCATTTTTTTCTAAAAAATGTCTGTTAAAAAAACTTTTAAATATTTGTTGTAGCAAATTTCTATTATAAGATAATTGCACTAAGTTGCACTTAGAATATATATGAAAGGAGAATGTATAGTAAATTTAATCAAATAATGATCTCCTTCATATATTCCAAGCATGTTCAAACAAGCTACATTCCTTAGTTCCACCAGTTCAGACATTTACAGTTAGGACCTGCCATGCCACATATACAGGGTCGAAACATCCTTATTCTCTTTGTATTCCATTGGTAAAGAGGAAGTTTCTTTCAGCTTCTTCCTCAGAATCGTCACTCTGTGGAGCAAACTTCTGAAAGAATGCTTCCCTAACCACTACAATTTTAATCTTATCATGTCTAGAGTCAATTGATACCTATCCTACTTATCCTCATAATATGCACCGTCTTCCCTATCCCCTTAAAACAATCATTCAGTAGCCCTCTATCTTGAGTGGCTCTTAGGCCTTGTCTCAGGTGAGCAATACTTAAAAAAACAAACCCCAAAAAACACTCAGCCAAAATTAATAAATCCAAAGTTGAAATATAAACTTAAAACAGAAAACTAATAAAAGAAATACTGAACTGGCAGTAAATTCATTCTAAGTATGTTTACATTAATTGTAATGTTTTATATTATCTTAGACAGCTTCTGTCTGAATTTCTGGGTTGAGGAATTATCATTAATTTATTTACATGCAGATTAAACACCCTCATTCTCAGCTGTTGTGCTGATACATTGTGATAACAACAACAAAAATGAGGACAATACTTCAGAAGTAAATATCTTAAACCAAATAAATTAAAAATGGAATATGAAATGGCAAAACAATTATTTCATGTTTTTACAGTCATTTAGTTATTTATGTATATATTTGTTCACTTGTTTTAATGCTAGTACTGTCCCCCTCCTCTCCAGATTATGGGCCCTTGGCTTGCAGCCCATTTAGCCCACATGTAAATCTGGCCAGTAGTGGATTTATACTCTAATTTTTAGGGTAAATTTCTTTAAATAAATTTTAATAAACCAGTATTTCTATGCTTTTATTTTCTAAAACTATGATAAAACTTAAGATTGTATATATTATTAAAAAAATTATTTTAAATTATTTTTTTTGAAAGCTATATTTAGAAAAATCACTAAGTAAAGCTTTAGAAAGAATATTTGGGAGATTAATTTGAGTTTTTTTTTTTTTTTTTTTACAGGCATTTTCTGCTTACTATTGGACTATGAAATCTCTTAACCTGACTCAAACAACAGATACTTTCACTCTCGAAAATTTCACATCAGTTGCTGATTCTTGGTGCAATAAAACTTGGGAAGAGGTCTGTGTTTTACTATACTTTTGAATTTCTTGTGATTAAAATGAAGATGTTTCATTTAACCATTTCATTTCCCCTAAATACATAAGTATATCAATAAATGTCTATTGATGAAAAAACATTTTATACAACAAATACTTATTTTTCAACAGCATCGCCTTCATTGTCACTACCCTTAATCTTCCAACACAACTATGTTTATCACATAGATCAAAATTTTATTAATAATTGTGATAGGCTATGTACAAATTGATTGACCTATTCCCATAAATGTAAGAAAATTATAAATCATAATATGTTTTCATTTTATTCAGATATTTGAAGTTCCATGAAAAATTGCATTTATCACAGATTTAATTAAACTCATTTAAGACCCAAACAAAATATCTTTGTTCCTTGAACTACAGTTTTCTTGTAAAATCTGAAATATTAATGTCTATCATTCTTAGTTTTATCACAAATTAATCTTCATTGATCAGTTAATTTGTAAAAATTAAACTTTTGGGCATTGGAAAACAGTAAAACGTTTTCACTTTTAAGGCAAAAAGAATAGTTATCTTGTAGTTTAGCATATCTTATTATCACAGTTGCTGTAAGGGCATTTGATTAGTTACAGCAAAATACTATCAAATCTAATTAAAAAAAAAAAGCTTTCAATTTTTTCCCAGTATTGACATTTCAGCTATTTTTATTTTTATTCATGCAACAAAAAAAAAAATATATAAGTTTTCCAAACTAAAAAATATAGTGTGTTTCCAACTGTATGATAAAATAAATGGACCTTGAATTAAAATAAAAATAATTAAAATATGTTCAGGTTTATTTTACATTTGGATTTATTTAAACTTTGTTTTTATTAGATTTGATATCTGCTTAGTATTTTATTGTAACTGCCTGAGTACCTTCACTATAACCAAAATAATTTGGGACACTAAACTTTGACTATCAAAAGAATTGAACAAGTCTCACATTTTGTAATGATCTGCTTTGTTTCCTCAATTTTCTTGTTCTCTTCACTAGGCTCTCCTGGTTCCTGATTTAAACAACACCATTAAGAAACGTTTATGCGCTGAAGCCATTTATGTAAAGACTCTTCTATCACAAGGTCTTCAGTTTACTTCTGATAAGTGGAACTTATTACATTTTAATAATTCAGTAAGTAAAATGTGAAATGTCTCAAACTTATTTTTTTTATTACAGAAAGAAGGTATTGCTACAGAAATATAGACGAAGAAAAATAGGGATAAAATAATTGAAAAAAGAAAAAATTGTAATAAAAAAAAAAGAAAAGTTTGAGTGAATTATTAGATGACCTCTTGTCAAAACTATACTTTCCAATTTATTGAAACATTAAAGGTAGTGTGGAATTGGGCATTTGAGAAAAATAGAGAAAGAAAAATAAATTTGATGAATAGAATGTAAGGATTATAAACAGAGAATTGTTAGTTTTGTATTAGCAATAAAAACAAAATGATGTTATATTTTAGTCCTTTTCTTGGCCCCCATCTCTGTTTTTTATTGGATTTGAAAATTGTATAGAAATACTTCAAATGCTTACTTATTTCATATGGAAATATCATAGGCAGAAAATGATAGAAATATTTTCATATCATTAACAATTTGTTTAACTTTTTTAATTCCTTGGTTTCAACAAATAGATAAATTTATATTGTTTTTTTGTTTGTTTTTTTTGTATAGACAAATAATCAGTAATTTAAATGTGTCTAATACCGGGTGAAAATAAATGAACACAGATATGGTAGTAGTATCCTATGTTCCCTATGTACAAACAATGGACTTGCCTCAGTTGGCTATTTAACTTGTAATTCCTATTTTCCTTTTTGTAGCTGAGTTTTGTTTAGTTGAATAAAGCTTAGCATTTTTACTGTTGTCCTGAGCCCTGTTTACTCTTATAATTACTACAATTTATTCAACTAAACATGTAGATAAAATCTAGCATGGAAACAGCATGGAAGCCAAAATGCTTGGATGTCGAACCTTGTTCACCAACAGCTTCCAGAGACTGCCGCCAATGGCAACCTATCCTACTAAACTATAGATGATTACAGGAAGGAATACCAAATGAATATCGAGCACTCTTAAGTTGTATAAGTCCTAGTGTATTCGAGTATATCAAAGGATGTACAGACTTCGACGTTGGTATAAGAAAATTGGACACTCTACTTATTAAAACGCCCAATGAGGCGTTTGCAAAGCACTTGTTGACCACATTTTTTTTAAATTTCACCATTGTAGAAGATATTTGTAAAAGTTTTAGGAAATTAAACCCAGCAGTTTTAAAACCGTTATGATACAAAGTAGACAATTGTGAAAGCAACATATATTCTGAAATAAATGCTTATGAAATGGGGTTTATGAAATTACAAATAAATTTTCAATTGTTCCTCCATTTTGTTGTATAACAGAGGTTGTACATTTGATCAAATTATTGACAGACTATCCATAACTTGAGGTATGCTGCTGCACTTTCATGATTCATGAGTGTGCAGCATCAATGTCGAGAGCTTAGAAAACAAGGAACAATTTAAAACAGGATCCTTTTTCTCTATCAACAATTACTCATCTGATAAAAATGTTTGAAACCACAAAGACACTGCATGATATACCATCAAGTAGGAGACATTCCTTAGAAGCTGAGTGCACACTTCAATTTGCTGTACTTTCATAAATTCCATTTCATACCCATTTGTTTCAAAATATATGTTGTTGTTTACACAATTGCTTACTTTGCATTATAATGCTTTTAAAACTTGCATTCATTTATTTTCACCCTGTATTTAATAAACTGTATAATTGTTGATAACATCTGCTGGGTTTAATTTCCTAAAACTTTTACACAAATATCTTTTACAATGGTGAAATTTAAAAAAATATATAATTGAACAATTTCAGATTAAATGTTCTCACATTATAACATTTTTAGGATAGAACAGGTTTAAAATTTATTTTGAGTCAATGATTAGCTTTTTTTAGGTAGCATACTTAAAATAATAATAAATTAATTTGATATCAGTTAATGAAGGAATTATATTACCCTGACAAATGGAATGTTGTATCTGCAAAACTTGAGATTGGAAGATAAATCCTTTGAACTTGTATTTTTCTATTAACTAGAGAGGTTATGTATTTTCAAAAAAGTTTCAATGATTTTTTTTGTTATTACAGGTATCTGGAAGTGACCTTGGCTGGGCCCTGGGTTTCATGATCTACACCAGCAACTCAATTGCATCAGAAACAGCTAAAGATATATTATCTGTTACTACTTATGTTTTATTGGGGATTTTATTTGTGATTTTCATCTTCTTAGCTATAGGCTTTGGAGTTGTTGCTAAGAATCACCGTCGGCAGACTTCTTTCTATGTGACAGCACCAAATTATGGTTCCAGTGATACGGTTTAATTTGATAACCACACCCAGCTTATTTACTCTTTTTCTTCCCAAAGAGATAAAGATTCTTTAGCACCTTTTTGTAAATAGATATTGAGGAACCTTTTAGAAAATTCTTGAAAAAATTTACATTGACTAGTATATTATCCTTTTTTTTCTTTCCTTATATATGAATAGTAAAAAAAAATGTTCTTATTTTAATATATTTAATGCACACTTTATTTTGAGTTTTTTTTTAATGAGGGTAGGAAAAGAAAAGTTAATGGCAACAATGAAATATTATTTTTTCATCCTTAGCATTATTGCATTAAAATTCCTTAAACCTAGCAGTACTATCATTATTTTAACCCCTGGCAAAAATTATAGAATTACCATACATACAGAATGTTCACTTTGGTTTTTCTATTTAGCAATAAATAAACTAGTCACAGATAAAATGCAAAACGTTTTTTATTTAATAGTTGAACATTCTGGCTTCATAAAATATACCTTAAACAAACCTGATTAAATTAAATTAATAGTATGCAAAAAAATAAATATTATGGAATAGCTTGATATTTAGGAAAAAAGTTACAGAAAAATCTTGTGATTTGTGTTCTTAAAACAAAAACCAGCAGAAGTCTAGATATGCAAATTGGCCTACTGTTAAGAGAGTTCTTGCAGACCTCAAGAAGCAGTTGGGCATACCTAATTGAAAGTTAACATAAAATCAACAAAAGGATTGTCAATTGAAATAATGGAAAGGAAGGTAAATCTAATTCAAGGTGGTAATCCATAGTGGAGTGTAGCAAAAGACATTGGTTGTTCCCAGTCAGCTGTGTTTAAAATTTGCTGTAAATTTTAAAGAAATAGAATGGTTAAAAAAAAAGAAAATTGTACTGGTCAACTAGAAAAGATATCAAAGCATCAGGATAGAAAACTCAAAGCAATATGCATTGAAAATAGAAAATATACAATAAAACAAATGAAAAATAAATAAAAGAGAACAGGAGTCAGTGTTTATGACATAATTGTAAGAAATTGGCTGAATAAAATGAGATTTACATACAGAAAAACCAAATGAAAACTAACATACAGAAGAAAATAAGATTAAAGTCATAACATGTCAGATGAAAGTGATGAATCGAGAATTTGCATTGGCCAAGACAATGATACTGGAACTTTTGGTGTTGTTCAAATGAAACATATAAAAAAAAAATAATAGCCTGAAGAAAATAAATTTCTCAAATCATTCATGATATGGAGTGACATATCATTTAAAGGACTAAGGAAGATAGCAATCAATGCACATGTGTACACTGAAATCCTGGATAATTTTCTTATTCCATTAGCAGTAAATTAACTTGGTGTCATTTTTCAGGACAATAATGCATTTTGTTACAAAGCAAATGGAATTAAAGCTTTCTTCACGAAACAGATATAAAATAAATAACACAGTCAGAAAACAGTCCGGACATAAATCCAATTGAAAATTTATAGTGGAAATTTAACAAATGGTCAATGAAAAGGTTCCATTCAGCAAAGATTATTTATTAATTGCCATTCATGAAAGTTGGAACTATTTTGATAAAGAACATTGCTTTAAATTATTGAAATACATGTCAGAAAGAATTAAGGCTGTCATAAAAGCTAGAGGAGTGACAACTATGTATTAATTCTAATGTTTTGCAGAATTTTGTATTTATAAAAAATGTTTTATCTTCTATCTGTTATTAGTTTATTTGATGCTAAATTAAAAAATAAAAACTAAAGTGAACATCTTTTAAGTGTGCCAATTCCATAATTGTTGCCAGTGATTCTATATTTTTTATTAGATGAAGCATTGTCAACCATTATTATTATTATTATAGTGTTTACTTTCATCTTGATGTTTTTTGGGGGGATAAAAATGACTAAAAATTAATTTCAAAGTAAATACTAGTTATAATAATGATTATAAAAAAACACAACCAAGTTCTGAGAATTTTCAGATTTGTATTTGATAATTTCAGTATTAAGATTTTTAACTTTATTATCACTTTTATAAATGCTTTAAATCGTTTTCTATTTTTCTAATTAATTTTTTTTTTAAACCTATCTCAAGGCAATACATATAACCTTATAAGTATCGCCTTGTCCTATCTACAAAATTATTATATATTGATATTTTATTAAATTTTATATGTGAAATTTTTAGTAAAAACTGTTTATTGCTGGAACTTTTTTTCTAATTTAAGAAACGATCATTTTAATTTAAATACATGCACATTTGGGTTTTAATCAAATAATATCAAATTGTGATATAATTTTATGTATACATATATATGCTTTCTTATTTTACACCCAAACTTATAAAGAATTTATTAAAAAATAACTTCAACTTAAAAAGCAAACATCTAATCAGATATGAATGATGCAATAACATGGAAAGCAGACAAGTAGCGTAATTAATCAGCACTTGAATGTCATCTGATACTTGATGAATGTTAAGGCTCAATACTTTGATTAGCAGTCTACAAAATAATATCACTCCAGCTCTTGTTCATTTGTCTATGCTCTTCTCAGATGGTTCATTGTCAGTTGATTTTTCAGCTGACCTCACGTTTATTTACCATAAGGAAATCCAATATAGTACTTGAAATGCAAGTCTAGTAGAGGTGGGTCATGACACATAGCCAAGCTAGTTCAGCTCCAGTTTCCAAAGATTGGTTTCCTGTTAATTACAAAGTCATTCTAACTCTACAATAGTATTTTCTTTACATATTTCATGTCAAACATATCCAGTTTCTTCTGGTTGGATTTCAGGATCAGTGTTTTACTGCCATAGAATAAGGTGGAGAGAAGACTGGAATTGTAAAATCAGATTTTCATTTTTTTTAAAGAGAACATCTTGCTTTTCCAGATTTTGATCAGCCCCATGAAAGCTGTTGATACTTTGCCAGTTCGACAGTTTATTTCTTGGCTCATTTCTTCAGGTTGTTAATTAAACTTCTCAAGTAAATGATATCATCAGCAAGTTCTATTTTAGATGTAAATCTATATAAAAAGAGGTGCAAAAAGAAAACAGTTGAGATTGCAAGCAACTTGAAGAGATTTTACATTTTATTGGGAAATATTGATGCAAAAGTATCACTAAGAAATAAAACAAAAAAAATTCATTAAACTATTTTTGCTGGTGTATGCATATTAGGTTCAAAAGTTTTCACAAGGAATCCAGACATTTTTTATTAGATATTTAGCAACAACATTGTTAAAAATCATAGCAAATGTACAAATAAATAAATAGAAGATCACTATAATTTATTGTATCATATTGTTTTGAAGTAAAGAATCTAAGGGAGTGTTTAATGGATGAAGTTGTTAAAAAGACATGCTTGAAAATGAAACTATAATGAAGGATATCTCAAAAAGAATTTTGAATACTTTTAATGTGCTTTAGCAAAAATATATTGTTATGTAATACACCTCCTACACACGCACACACACACATATATATATATATATATATATATATATATATATATATTTATTCAATAATTATAACATAATCATATTATAACATCACTACAAAAATAGCCATTTTGTTTCAACACTTCTAGTGTCTTATTAAGTGATAGCGAAATTATATATACATAAACACTGACGTCAACACCAAGTGGTAACAGTCTGTTTCATTCTTGAACACAATCTTCAGGCCTTGTTTGTTATGTGGTAGCTCAAATACAGGGTGCCCCACAAAAAAAAATAAAACAGGAAATTTGGTACAGTTTACTTAATTGTTGGAATTTTTGTTACAGTTATTTGAAACAAAAGCAAAGGATAGAAATTTTGTAGCTTAAACAGAACAAAAACGCAAATGTTACATGTGATGTTCAAACTAAAATAGCTAATTTTTTTATATTTTAGTTAATTTTTTTTTTCATCGTATAATAAATCTAAAATTTCCTGTTTTTTTTTTGTTTTTTTTTTGTGGAGCACCCTGTATTTATATATACTGGTCAATAGTACATTATGAGTAGCAAGTTAAGGTATTTCTACTTTATCATATTATCCTAACAATTATTGGGTAGGCGGCAACGGTTATATTTCAAATTATTCTAAAGATTGTTGAGTAGAAATAATTATGGGTCAGAATGTGCTTATTTATTGCTGTTGTATAGTGTTGTTTCTTAACTTTTAACTCATTATTTATTATTGATTACTTAGAGTATTTTGTATTTATTCATTATTTGTTCTTGATTATTATTATTATTATTATTAAATTGGTTGCAGTTATGTGTGCATTTGTAGTTTAATTTGTTTATTTTTGATACTGTTTATTGTATTTTTCCTTATGTGGAAGTTATCTTATTTATATAGTTTAAAATATTGGCTTTGTCTACAGTATTATATATATATTCAAAATATATGTTGGATATATTTGCTTTTTTCTTGATGTTTTACAAGGTATTCCTTTTTATTTTTTTTACTTTTAAGTAACAGTAAAAAAAAATTGTTTTTGTGTACTGCATTTTGAGATAAATTCAGATCATTTATTTAGTTGGTCTGGGAAGGTGATTATAGTTATTCAATAACAAAATAAACCCATTAATGTATAAAGTTTCCTTAAAATTTTAGCTCTTTTTGCCTCATCGACCTTGCTGGCTAATGATAATCTTGGGTATGGCATATTTTAAATTTTAGGTCCCTGTATTGGAAAAAATGGGAAACCAAGCTCTAATACTTTAAATAGTTTCAGCATCCTACCTTAGGAGTTAAAACTAAAGAAGGCATGAAAAACTAACTAATTATTAAATCCAAAACTTTTGGCCTATCGTGTGTGTGCATATGTGAGATATATATATATATATATATATATATATATATATATATATATATATAAATTTTATCACATAATTGTCTTGTCCTAAATTACTTAGATGAAGCATTGTCATTATTGATTTTTGACTGTCAAGAATAAAATATGCAAGTTGAACTTTCATTGAAGGCTTAATCTTTATTTCTAAGCGGTGCTGCTTACTTGACAGTTGTAG